TTTCCGGGCCCGTCGGGTGGCGTTGGTTAAGGGCGCTGGACCCCCACACGGCCCTCTGTTCAGCCTGGCTGCTTGCTTTCTACTTTCCCTGCCTCTCCCTCCCCCTCTCTCTTTCTGGTCAAATGAAAAATAAAAGTTAAATAAAATTGTTTAAAAAGACAGTCATCGTAAAAGTAAAAACCCAATTTTGTGTCTAATAGGTGAGAGTCGCCCCGTTAGGACAGTGTCCTTCCTGCCAGCAGTGCTGCCCAGCAGCCCAGAAGGAATGACAGACCCCAAAGGCCTAGGGACGGGGCTTTCCTTCAGCACCCACGTCTGTAGAATGAGTGATCCAGCTATTACGAAGCAGGGAATCAGAAGTCAAAGTTTCACACAGACAGCCCTCTGTTAAAAATAATCACAGGCCCACAGCAGGGGGTGTGGTGGTTCGGGGGCTGGGGCCCGCGTGGGGAGGGGTCTGAAACAACCAGTGCAGTGGTGTGCATGCCCAAAATCCTGCCAGGGGAATGGAGAGGGGATTGCCATGCCACATGACCATCCCTCGGGGGCTTCTCTCTCTCCCTCTGTGTCCTTTGGGGGAAAAAAGTATCTATTGTTTAGATGAAAACACACTTTCCATCCCATCTGCTTGGAAACCTTGTGTGAGGGTGGCCCAAGAGCACAGTCAGGGCCAGCAGGTGGTGTGGTGGTTAAAGGCACTGGACTCCCACATGGCTGACTGCGGTTCGAGTCCTGGACCTGGCGGCTTGCTCTACCTCTTTCTGGTTCTCTGTCTCCCTTTGGTCAAAAATGGAAAAATAATGATGGTAAATAATTATTTAAACAGAAAAAGAGCACATTCAAATGCAGGTCAACTAAGACGTAAGCCAAGTACCCCAGCCCCGTGGCACCGTGGGCACCAGTTGAGGCAGCTGCGGACTCAGGGTGCCAGAACAGTTCTCACAGAGACAGCCATTGACTGGGACGCATCTCATCTGTCCCACGGATTAAACAGTCTTAGAATAAGGCCATCAGGACACCTGAGAGCGAGTACTTCACCGACAGCCGCGTGTGTGGGCCGGTGCTGTGGGCAGCTGGCTGAAACAGGGGCCTGCAGAGGGTGCCCGCCCCACAGGGCAGCTCTGAGGATGGGAGAGCAAGGCTCCACGCCAGGGCTGAGGCCAAAGCCAGACCAGAACTGTGAGAACGAGGGAGACTAGGACGCGCCTGTGGGTAGGGGTGACTGGATTAGGGGAAGCCCACCCCACCCAGCAGGGGCGTGGGCATTCTTGTGTGTGTGTGTGAGGCTTTTGCTATAGGAGAGCGAGCGTGTGAGAAATCACCCCCTCCCTGGGGACGGCCACACAGCAGTCCCTTCTCTTCCATTCTCCCTTAGTGATTTTGGGTACACATGCCCACTGTGAATTTTAAGTCACCAGGTCCAGGATTTGAACTACGGTTGACTACGTGGGAGTCCAGCAACATAACCACTACGCCACCTGCTAGTCCCAGGATGTGGGCATTCTTAAGCCAAGAAGAGAAAGTGAGCATACTGGCTGACCACGCTCACCAGACTAGGCCCCAAGCCCTCCAAGTCCTCCCAAGCTGACCCAGCCCGGGCTCCACGTGTGCCAGTCCCTGACTGAGTACCCGGCCCAGGCAGCGGCTAGGGGGGCTGAGCAGCTTCTCTCTCTGCCCCTGAAAGCCCAGGACCAAGTGGGTTCTGTCAGTGAGGGCAAGGGCCTCTGCACCTCACAGTGGGCGCTGCCCCAGAAGGGACGGACGCCTCAGCCTGCAGACTCAGGTGAAAACACCCAGCACCCGCCCACCCAGCTACCCTGGCCATGAAGCCTGCGGCACCTGGTAGAGAAGTCAGAAAAGGCGACCAACAGATGGCATAGCTGTTACTTCGCTGGACTCCCAAGTAGTTAACTGCAATTCGAGTCCTGGACCCAGCAGCTTAAAATTCATGCCAGGTGCATGTGTGAGCGTGCCCAAGATCCCGAGAGAACCGATGAGGAGGGATTGCAGAGGGGCCCTCTCCCGGGGTGAGGTCTCACTTTCTTTCTGTCTCTGGAAGCACACAAGCCCTATAGCAAAAATCTCTCTAGAAAATAAAAAAATCACTGAGAAGTCAGAAAAGATTGGCGGGGCCCGGGAAGGGAGAGTTGGAGAAGGCATGTGTGGAGGCTCTCAGTCCCCATGCTGTGGCTAGTGTGGAAGTCACACACTCGGTGTGGCCGACCTGGGCAGCCAGGACAGTGCCAGGGCAAGGGGAGTCCAAGAAGCAGCTAAGCCACACCTCATGACGGAGAGGGGACGGGAGAGGGTGTCAAGAAGTCACGTGTGAGATGACACGGGCTGTGGCATGACATGCCCAGGACACAGCAGTGGTGGCACCTGTTTCCATGTTCAATTGTAACACTCAGTCGTAAAACCCCATGCTCGTTTAGCACTTTTGGAGCCATGTGCTCGGGCTCACCTGGTCGCAAGCTTCACCTGAGCTTCCCGAACTCACCTGGTCACAAGCCAACTAACACGCCTGCGCTTCACCTGAGCTTCCCGAACTCACCTGGTCACAAGCCACCTACACGCCTGCGCTTCACCTGAGCTTCCTGAACTCACCTGGTCAGAAGCCACCTAACACGCCTGCACTTCACCTGAGCTTCCCGAACTCACCTGGTCACAAGCCACCTAACACGCCTGTGCTTCACCTGAGCTTCCTGAACTCACCAGCGGATGAGCTGGCCAATGTGAGTAAAACCAAACCCATGCTCTTAGCACTGCCCATGTATTTTCCAATTTCACAGTCACTCAGACTGTCACCTTCTGGGAATGAACGTGACCCCACCCCCATTCTATTGGACGAGGTTGGCACCAAAGCCTTTCCTGACAGCTCCCCTGTAAGACACTTTCAGGAGGAGTGAAACGTGCAGCTAGCCCACACTACAGTGCATGTGCGGGCCCAGGCACACAGCTGCGCTCCACATGCAGCTGGCCGGAAGTGCAATCACAGCTGGTAACAAAACCGTACCCAGATCAGCCACGACCCACACGGTGCCCGGCTTTGTCATGTAGCCACACTCACTCAGGATGTAACACTTACAAACGTGTTCCCGAACATCGGAACAGAGAGCAGACTGTTTCCCAACACCCCCTCCACATGCTACACTCCGTTATGTACTTCGATTCAAATAATTTTACTTAATTTGGCCGAAAGTAGTAAAAAATCTAGAACTAAAACTAAACCTGACCTTGAAAACAGTAGGAGCCGTGGAGCCCAATGCATAGGGAGCTGGATCCCACTCCGCCGACCACTGGGCACCTCTGGGTGGGTGCCCGAATCCTGACAGGATGCAGAAACAGAGGTAAAAGGGCCGCAGTGTGACCGCACACCACTGGTGGGGGAGGGGCGTGCTTGCTCTTGCTCTGGTAGTGCACACACCCCCTGGCAAAAAAGGAAAAGCTAATTCCAGTTTTTAAAAATCCCCATTACTGAGAAAGAGACTGTCAATAACTTGTGTTTAGATTTCTTCTGCCAACCCCGATCTGTTATTATGAAAGCCCTACGGGATTATAAGACGTTTTGGAAACCGTTCAGATACTAATTACTTTAAAGTCTTTCTTTTTTCTCTTTTATAATGATTATAATAGACAGCATCTATTCCCCATGAAATAAACCACTTTATCTGAATGATTTCATTTAAAGCACAGGGGAGCCTGAAGAGAGAAGTACTAGTAATGTTTTCATTTTACAGATGAAGAAACAAAGTCTAGCCAGTTGCCATGGCTGATGGGAGAGGCCAGTCCAGGCTGTGAGGTCACCAGCACCCCCACCCTCCAAGTCCAGGGCTCCCAGGACTGTTACTTTTTAAAGAACCACGCAACCCCAAGGGGCTTGTTTTTGTGGATTCTTTCTGATGTCGACCCTATTAGCAATTAAAACTGAGACTTTAAAGAAGTGAATACATTTAAAACAACAACAACAAACCCATCCTGGTGACAGATTTCTAATGGCAAAGAGGTATTTTGTAAACTAAGTAACACAGTTGTTCAGCGTTCAGACCCTGCCAGCTTACGGAGCTGAGGATGGCGGGAACCTAAAAGGAGTGACGTGCCCCACGACTACCCCCACCGCGGGGCAGAGCCCTCTGCGAAGTGCTCAGGTGGAAGCTGCAGCCCCCATACGCTGCCCTGATGCTGCTGGCCTGCTCCACCGGGAGAGCCGAGCTCAGTACCTGGTTTCTTATTGTAACCTGGAGGGAGAGAAGCAAACAAGGGGTGGTGGGAAGAAGCTGCTAATGCCCTGCAACTCAGGCCGGGCACGTTGCCCCTGGCATGGAGTTTGGTGGCCCACCGATGTGTCCACGCTCAGAGTTCCAGGGCGGCAGGCAGAGCGGTGACCACTGGCCTTGGCCGCAACGTGGACAGTGTGTACACGGCTACACCTGGCCTGGGCCTGGTGAGAGGACCCCGGGGGCCTCTAACATGGAGAGGACATTGGTCGGGCAGTGGCGGGTGTGCTGTGGCGCCACGTGGTGCAGGCAGGTGATGACCCCCGCAGACCCGTGCCACCTGCTTTCCCGAGGAGCAGCTGCTCACGCCAGCTATCCCCGCTGTTCCCCGAGCAACCCACAGCCCCACATGCCCCCCAGCTCCTGGGAAGCAGCCAGCCTGGTAACCCAGGCCAAGCCTCCTGGGGCTGGCCGGCCCACTGCAGACCTGCCGTGCTGGCTCCAGGTCCTCCACCCGCAGCTGCAGTGCCACCTGGCTTTACCAGCTGGGTACCGGCCCAGCTACCTGGGAGACCCCAAACATCCACACCTTTCCGCCTGCGAGAGGGTCCCCGACCTTTACCAGGACGGCTTACAAGGCTGAGACCCAAGGCCGGGCCCTGGGGTCTCCCTGGTCTAGAGGTGAAAAAGCTTAAGCTGGCAAGCAGGACCCTAAACGCTTCTCTGCCTCTAGCCACCCTCTGCTGCTGGGGCCTTGCCAAGACCCACCTGGCCATGGTTGCGGCCATTTGGAGCCCCAGTCCCCCAGACAACTTGCCCCCAAGAGCCATGTAACCATTAGCACAGCACCCACCACCCAGACCCCTCTGCCCTCTTCCCAGGGAGCCCCAGCCTTCCCACGGCACCGCTGCTGGTAGCCAGGGCCCAGGGCGCACACGTTGTACTCCGGAGACGTCGGGGCGGAGACCCTGCCGTCCTCACTTCCCTACAGGAAGATTCCATGTTGCCTCAACTAAACCTTACTAAACAGAATCAATTAAAGTGTTATACATTTGACCCAGAAAATTTTGCTTTTCCATGGGTGGGTTTATTTCAAAATTGTAAAGATTTATATATTACTTTTTACTACACATAATATGCATTTTTTTGGCTTAAAGTAAAAAGTTTCACATTTAAAGTTTTTTTAAAAGTCTTAAAAACGCAGACATTAAAAAAACAAGCTGAACATATCTTGCAACACAGGTTTATCCCTTAAATATTCACATTTCAAAAGCTTGTCTGAGCAGATTAAAAAAACTGGCTAACAATAATTTACAAGTGGCAGTAATTAAAATCTCCTTATCTCTGAGAAAACATATTAATGAGGCATCGTGAAAGGACAGTTACAGGCACGTAACAGTTTAATCAAGCGTAGATCCACCAGTACATACACACGGGCTCAGACTGCCACTGCGGGCTTCTCGGGGTCATCCTTTCACTGGGAAAAGCATCCTTCACCGCAGAGGGCAGCCGCAGCCAGGGAAGTCTTTGCCACGAGTTCCTGATTTTCAACTCAGAAAGGAGGAACAGCATTTAATGACGGCGTCCCTGGCGGAAGAGAGGGAGAGAAAGCAGAGGGTGAGAGTCCCTTCCTCCGGGGCGCGTCTGCGGGGAGTGGGGTGGGGGGACCTCAGCAAACTCTGCACACACTGACCGCACGCCTTCTCACCACACACTGCGTGGCCACACACTCTGTGACTGTGCACTGCGTGACCGACCACACTGTGTGTCAAAGACCGACACCTTCTGACCTACGGCAGTACTGCCGAGCAGCACCTGAGATCGAGAGCCGAGACGTGGAGGGGCTGTGCTAATTTCTGAAAAGGTATTTACTTAGGAAATCTTCGCCAGCATATAACACTGGCTTAGCAGAAAGAAATTTACATGCCAAACATAATCTAACAAAGAATTAATTTTATTAAAACCAACAAACTGAATTTTAAAAGTAAAATGTTTATAACTACATCCTAAAAATTCAAAACAATTAGTGATAAACATCATTTCATATTTCCTTTCAAAGCTGTTTGAACCATCATTTAATACTTTTTAAGTTTTAATAATCTACTTTTTTTTTGGAGGGTTTTTTGCTATAGGGCGCGCGTACTCGCCAGAGAGAGAGAGACAGAGAGACAGGAAGCAAGAAATCACCCTTTGGGGGGATGGCCACGCTGCAATCCCTTCTCCTCCATTCTCTTCTCAGGATCTTGGGCACGCACGCACATGAACCCGGCGCGAGTTTAAGCCACCAGGTCCAGGACGTGAAGGGTCGACTACGTGGGAAACCAGCGAAATAGCCACTACGCTAACTGCTGGTCCCAATATCCACTTGTAATAATATAAGTACATGGTTCGCAAATGCAAGACCTTAAGTTCTGGGGAAAGAGGTCCTTTCCAGAAGACTTGTTCTCCCTGCAGACCGTCCAGCGGTACAGGAGGGGCCTGGGGTCGAGGCCACCTTCCGTGCACCCTGAGAGCCCAAAGCGGTGCCCCAGCCGAGGCTCCCAGGGTGCTCGCCGCCACGCCCTTTCGTTCTGCGGCTTTCTCATCTGCAGCTGGCCTGGTTTGCTTCTTCTCATGTTTAAAATGGAATAAAAACAGAATTTCTACCAGTTTCCTTCACTGTTCATACTAGGCACACGATTTCACTATTTTTAAAAAATACATAGTGTGTCTTCGAATTTTATAAAGCAAAGCTGTGCCTTGCCACGGACTGTTTATGAATCTCTCCTAAATAAGATTAGAGTTGTCTTCTTTCCTCTACAAATTAATACATTTCTCTGGCAAAACGTAAGGAAACAGCAGTTACCTCTTGACAAACAACTAAAATGTTTCTGCTGAGCGTTGGCAGCCAGGACAGGGCCTAGGCATGTGGAAACCCCAAGGGCAATAGGAAGGCTCACCGCCCACCACCTTCACAGGGACTCAGAGCTCACAGGTAGGTACTACGCCAGACAGGGTTCTGGTCATCTTGTCTCAAAAATCATTCATTTCCCTTTAAGAAAAAAGCCTTTCAAATTTCAACATGAACATGGTTTATCAGGAATCTGTGTACGAATAATGAGGAGACGGGACTCGAACGTGCTCACCTTGCATATGGAATGTATGACAGACTATACCTGCAAGAGAAAGGCACAGGGTGAGACCACTGCGGCCATGCCAGGCTGCGGTCAGCATGGCCCTGGTCCAGCGTCACCGTGTGACCAGGCCTGCCGGCCTCTGCACCTGGCATCTGCGAACAAGTGCCAACGCGGCCCCCCACCTCCTGGCGCGTCACCAGCCACGCTTACTCTGACCCGCACTAACATTTCAACTGCTCAGTGATAAGTCAGCCAGCCTTCTAAGCTTTCTTCCTAATGGAAACTATAAAAAACTGAGACTCTCAGGGTCTTCGAAAAGTTCACTAAAATGTGTATGACAAAAAACTTTTCGTACCAAAATAAAGCCATATTTAATTCCATTATTCCACAAGCTTTTTGAAGTTCCTCCACAAATTACATTCTCCTTTTGGAGTAAACTACTAAGTACAGATTAAGCAGCAAAATTCAAAACAGAAAAAAATAAGTATGAGATTCAGTTTCCATTTCTTCACATTTCCATGAAAATGAGTGAAAAGACATTACACAGCCCATGTGAAACGTGGAGAAGTGTCGCTGTGGAAAGCCTTTTGCAATAGGGCATATGTGCTGCTGTGTGTCTCTCACAGAGACAGAGACAGAGACAGAGCCAGAGCCAAGTGAGAACTCGCTGCCAGGGAGGACGGCCATGCTGCACTCTTCTCCATCCTCCTTCGGAGTCAGGGTCCAGCACTCGACCCCCCGTGGGACCGGCACCTTCACTAGGCCGTACACTGATGCCCTGGAAGGGCAGAGCGAGGGCTAAGAGAAAGCTGATCCCTAAGGAGTGCAGGATGGGCTGGCCCTAGCACAGCAGCGAGCGCGGAGGATCCCTGCAGGCTCGGGGGCCAGGGCCCACGCGGCCAACCACTGTGAACCCCAGCCCAGCAGTTTGAAAAGATGCCCAGCACGTGTGTGCACACGTGCACAACCCCGAAGGGATGCAGAATGGAGGGAAAAGGGCTGTGCGTGAGCGCCCCCTGGTGCCTCCTCTCTCTCCCTCCCTCCCCCACCCCCTCTGATATGTGCCCATGCCCTTCAGCAGTAACAAAAAGCAGGAAGGGGTTTTCTGACTATCAGAAGGAAGCAAACAAGACTTGGTTCTTATAAAAAAAAAAAAAAAAAAAAAAAAAAGGGAGCCAGCCTCTCCCGTCTGACCAGGAAGAGCTCCAGCAATCCGGCAGACAGTCGAGGCCTTCTCCACAGTCACCAGAAGTGCAGGGCCCAGAAAGGAGGGAGGAAGCGGGTCTGGCCAGCAAGAGAGGCACAACTGCAGAGACGGGGAATGGAGCGAGCCAGGGAAGCACAGAAAGACAGTCCCTGTGAAGACGCCGCAACATCACGGCTGCAGGGTGGACAGCGGGGTGGACCAGAAGGTGCTATGCGGCTCGCTGCAGAATGCAGGCCCACTGAGCTCCCTGCAGGTCTGGCCCGACCCCAGTGAGGCTCACCTTCCCGGCTTCTCCTCCAGGGGTCACGTGGCCGTGTGACACGTGAGCAAGGCACACCCCCACCAGTGACCTCCCCACATAGGTGACCACCCCACTACCCCCCAGCCCACCCCCCTCGAGGCACAAGCCTGTGGCAGGGCCCGCCGGGCTCTCGAACCCGCGCCCGCC